CCCACCCCCCCCCCCCCGGCGCCCACACACACAAGGAAAAAACAAATCATTCTAAATTGCGATCACCACAAAATTTCTAGCATGTGATGACTCACTTGACCCCAAACGAAATGACATTAAAAATTTCAACTTATAGTATGTTAAACAGGATATGAGAATATTTAACCGCACAATAGTGTAAATAATATATCTAAAATAAAATTATGGACCAAGAAACAATAAATTATGGAAAACAGAAAGATTGAACTGCTTCAGTTAATAAAATGAAACCTTCTTTGAGAAAAATCAGAGGCCTTTATCAGGATAATCAGCCAAACAATGGATTTAATACATAACAAGAAGCATGAAAAGATTCAAAGAACAAGAAGAAGTAGTTTTGAGAAGCAAAACAACATATTTTATGTGCCACTTCATTATACGTTGGTCACTCCTTTCAACTCACAAATCTCAATAAAAGGAGGAAACCAATAGCCAATAAATGAAAATTTCTTGAAAATAATTTTAGTCAAGTTATTCTGCTGCAGCTGCAGTGGAACATTTCTGATAGCACCAACACACATTAATTATAAACTATGATATCTTACTATTAACTTACCATCTTTCCCCATTGATAAGCCCAAAATATTCCAAATATTCAAAACACTTTTGCAACGGTTCGTTAAATGGACAAGTAGACACTTTTGTGAGGTCCTTCCAAAAATTATATTTAATCATTGACCATAAACTCACTACTTTCTCTTTCTCATCTGGGTCTGGCAATTTCTTGATGCTTCATGAGGAAAGATAGTTCCAGCAGATATAATGGCATGCTCATTACAATCCACAGCTTCAAAAGTACAAAGATCATTTTCATCTGATGAAAATGATGAAATCCTGATGTCAGATCCATTGCTTTTGAAAGAACTCGGCGAAAGAAAATCCACGGTGTCAAAGAAAGTAGTCTTTTTTCGTTATTGTCTTCAAATTCACTTGGACTTTCTGGTTAAAGCATTCAGTAAGGCAATGAGATCTGAAAATCAGTTGAATTTCAAATATGCAGCATCAAAAAACCCAAAATAATGTGGATTTCTGATGACATCATCAATGAACTACTTCTAATAATCAAAATAATGAGTTATAACAACCAAATATTTCATATTTTGAAGGATAAAAGCTAAAAAGAGTGGTAATACTAGTCAAGTACACTTACTTTTTATCATTTATCGAACTTCTTGAAATATAACAGCAGGAAACTGATAGATGTGGATGCTTGAAACTTAACTAAGCTATGTTACATCCTAATTACGTGGGCTAAACCTAAGTAAAACCTGCTCGGATGCATTACTTTCAATCATCTCGGCCAAACATGAGAGAAATATATTTGTGTTACCCTGAAACTGGATAATCCAATTTAGGGAATATGAGTATAGGCTCAAGGTAGAATATAGATTCTCATTTTGTATAAATAGAGATAAAAATAGTAATAAATACCTGATTAAATGTACTCAGCCGACATATTAAATACACGAATACTTGTTCTTTAAAGCAAAAAAAGGCTAGAGGTGTATTTTTTACACAATCAGGGAGAGGGAAAATGTTATTCTCATGATCAAAAAATTAATCATGCTATAATTAAGACCAGTAAGAAAAAGTGCAGTGAAAATACTACTTTACAGAGGCACATATTTGAGTAAACAAAACAACTTTAGCACTCTAGCTTAAAGCACAGTAAATTAATAGATAGAAAGTAGACAACAGCAAGTATCATTACCAACATTGAAATTGTTGTCAAATGTCAATCATTCAAAATACTACCACATGAAATATATTGAGAACCGTCACGCCCATTCACAGATATAAAAATAAAAACAGATATCTTACTATAATCTCAAAACCTTGTTCCTAGCACAAAACATAATATACTCATTGACAACAGATCAGCCAAAATATTCTAATATCGTATGATGCTGAATTACTGGTTCATGGCTTCAGTTTCAAATTAAAGACAGATTCCTTATTGAGCTAAACATTAGTTCTTTCTCCAGACTGCAGAAGAAACTTCAGAGAGAAGGTAAGAGATACAGTGAGGGACATTAAGTCAGGCACACTGAAACTTAATCATACCATTTGGGCTTACTTGAAAAACTTATAAAACAGGGAGAAGATAGAGGACGGGTTTCCTTAACAATAAATGAGAGGCATATTTTTTCGTTAAACTCATCGCAATGGTGTCAATTGCTTATCTTCTGGGCATAAGGTGACAATATGCGTTGAATCACGATTTAGTGTCTTTAGAGAACAAATTCTTGATATCAACATTACATTTGCTTCTTCAAAGTAAAACAAAAGTGATAACTCAAGCACAACTAAAAGCAAGTCATCTAAGAGTAGAAAGACTCAGAACAACAATGACTGTAAAAGATCACAATAAATCCAATTTGTGCCTGATGCCAAACTAGGTATAAGTTTCTAGAGAAAATTTTTACCTACCAACTGCCTTAGATTAGATTAGGTTAATCCTCACAAGACTAGATAGGCAATGGAACATATAGAACATTATTTTTATTTACTTTATTTTGGTGCAATATACAGCATAAAGAACCCAAGAATCATTATCCATCCAACACATGAATTTGAATATATTAGTAACACTAACATTCTGTAAAAGAACTCCTTATCTTGATTCTCTTGACAGCAATGTTCTTTCAAGTATCTCACTATAACAACGAAAAGCAAGTCAAAAAGAAAAAGTCAAGTAACTATCTGCAAGAAATCTATAGAAAGTAGTGCGGAAAGATTCAATGTTTTACTGCCTCTTCCCAAAGCACAAGAAGAAACAAGTAACAGTCCCAACCTACCCGGCTACAAATCTAGGGAAATCTGGAAACGCTTTAACAGGCCCATCTCCTTGGAGAAGAAACCGAACTAGTATCATGAATTTGACTTGTAAGGACTTATTCATGACAGATACCACTAACTGTTGGAGCGACTCAACAAGGAGCCAATGCTTCTACTTCAACAGTATCAATTGATTCAGCAGAGACAAATTCATTCTTCATGATCTGCTTGCTGTCCTGAAAGCAGCCTCATTCACATTTTCTTCCAACAATCGCTGCCTCAACTTTTCAGGAGATAGAAACATTGTCCACTGGATCCATTGACTCACTGTTGGACATTTGCGGGAACATATCCTTAACGGCCTGCAATGCTTCCATCCATGCCATTCATTCTGCTCTCTTTGTTCCAATTAAAATGTAGAATCTCTTATCATGAGAATGACTTTCTTGAATAGTTGAACCTAAAGTAAAATACTCAAATCATAAAAGACAAAACAACACATGTAATGGCTTTATGAGAAGAAACTCCTATACCAGAAAAACAACCTAAGGAGAGCACGCATGGATCATATTATGATCATATCGATTAAACCAACATAACGCATGGATCATATTATGATCATATCGATTAAACCAACATAAATCACACTCTTCACAGGTAATGCAAAGTAAGCTTACTATTGGAACCGAAGAACATAACTTATCAGAAGCTTATGAAGATGATGCTCTAAAAAGAACAGAAACGAATAGACTGTTCTTTTAACCACGTCATGATCAACTAAAACAACATAAGATGATGTTCCATAACTAAGTTCAGTTTATTTTAAACCTCTCTTCTTCTTCAAAAGAAAAATCCAAATTGAATACAGAAACAGTCCTTCTGGAAAAAGTTTGCATGCAA